GTATACAACATGTAATTCCAAATTTTGTGTGTTGTCTTTTAATTTGAAAAATAACAAAAATATTTTTATGGTTGTGACGAAAATAAAACAAACGTGGAGCTCCATGCTTTTTATTGCACAGTGTCCGACTGACAAGCTCAAACCAAATTGACTTTGAATAATTCTATTAAATAATATTCAAGTGGTTTTGTTTCTCTCTCAAGTTGAATTCATTTACAATAGTCACCGTATTACTGTTCGGATTGTCTATTTGCATCTTTGTAACACTATCCTGCCATAGAATATAAAATGTCCATCTGATGTTTTTTATTTCATGTTTCATGAGAAAATAAATGTTTCCATGTACAACTTGTTTAAATGTTATGGTTGCCTTTCCTATTCTGTCCGTTGATTTGTTAATTTGCATCACTGTTTTATAAAAACAGCTGACACTAAAGATATTTTATTCTGTTTTTAAATTATGTTTAACACAACATCCCAACTTTATTGGAATTAGATTTGTAAGAATACACTTTTTAGATAACCTTTGGACCCTTGCTTTAATCCTTTTTTTGCATTTTTGTGAATTATACAAGTAGCGGATCACTTTTTAAAAGCCCCCTGAGAAAAGATACTAGACTATTGAATATTACTGAAATCTTTATTGGAAAATCATGTTTAATAGACAACAGCAGAAATAAGAACAGAATAATTCGGACATTTTTTCATAGAGACATTGTATACACACCTTCCACAGTATCATTCTGGTCCTCCTACACAGGTAGTATCAATTAGAAGGTTTGGCTTTTGCCATACACATTTTTTTATTTCTAACAAAATTAAAGAGGTCGCTTATGAAGTGATACATAGATTCTTCCCAATCAATTTATATCTGTTGATATTTAAAAAAGACTTACATATGAAGTGCAATTTTTGTCGTGATTCAAGAGAAACATTAGTCCACTTTTTCTGGTCATGTTCAGACACAAAATTGAATAATTTGACGCAGTTTATTACACACAATATTGATCCTCACATCTCCTTACTCTGTAAACATCTAATTTGGTGTTATTGATTATAATAGGACTGCCAATGCACAATTTTATTGAATAAAAACCTTTTTATCATTTTCGCAAAATTTTACATCCATAGATCAAAATTTATGCATAAGAAACCACCTTTTACTGAAATGTTCATATACATGAATCATTTTGAATGAAAAGCTGTGAAAATATAATTATTGCAAACCATGATAAAAGTAGGGGCAGCTTGCTGGATGAGTGGGTAGCGCGTCGACCTCACAGTGCAGAGGTACCGGGTTCGATTCCAGCTCTGGCAAAGCTTGATTTCAATGCAGTATTTTCAAATTTGTTTAACAAAGGGGGGGGGGGGCAAAATCCCATCTACAAAAATGTATGTATTTCAAATCCCTTTGTTTTCATGGATATAATTTTATGATTTCTCAAAATGATGATTATTGTTCCATTTTAAGCTATAATGCATCTATCCATCTATCCATCCATACATTCTCTGATCCCCTTAATCCTCACAAGGGTCGCGGGGCGTGCTGAAGCCTATCTCAGTTGTCTTTGGGCTGTAGGCAGGGACACCCTCAACCGGTTGCCAGCTAATCGCAGGCTATAATCATGAAAATCTTACAAAGTAAAACCATTAACAACTATACAGTGAATCAAAACTGGGTTTCGCCTTTCTTAAATGTAACTACTGATCTTTGACTGAAGTATTCTACCATATTCTAATTTACACCATGATATATTTACAATTGTTTTGAAATACTGTAGTTGTCAGTATAAAAGTCTTGTCAATTTCAGACATGTGAATGCAGCAAACCTGACTGCCATTTTGAGAAAGACTGAAAAGTGAATAAGCAAACAAAACACATTTGTGGCGTTAATCCTTGACATGTTTGCTGAGCTGAAGTCTCACACATGAGCTCTTCCTAATATTTTGGTCCATCTCAGTTTAGAGGGCGTGACCATGATCGCTCCAAATGAGTCTCGCCGGAAGGAGACACTAATGAGTAAGCCCGCTTTCCATACGTTTTTTTTTTTGTTTTGTTTTTTTCCAACTTACTTTCTGTGTCATTAAAAACCGCTTTAGTTGCTCAGAAGGAAGAAGATGAGCTTCAGAAATGGAAGGAGGCTAACAGGCACACACATGTGCATACCACTCCAGAGAGATTAGGTAAAAAGCAGCACTCTTCAAGCATTGTGTTTGTAACGCGCACCTTCCGGGATTTTCACTGTCACTTGTGTTCAAGGTGGGAATGCGACTTTGGCTGAAGTCAGGGAGAGACAGTTCAAGGACTTGCGTTGCTCCAAGATGGAGAAGAAGGTACTGTTTTCTACTTGCCAAGGATACGGCTTTACCGTAAACGGAAAACTGCGAGCAATTGATGCTCCCCCCCCAAACCACATCTCCCGCCCAAAAAATACAATACAATACAATACAATACAATACAATACAATACAATGCATGCAGATTTATATAGCATGTATTGTATTGCATTGTATTGTTTTGTATTAAAAATAAAAATGCCTCTAGATGGCACAAGATGATAGCAAAGCACTTTTTCTTGTCAAAATGAAACTCCTCAACACACTTCAACATAGTTCATTGGCACCAAGATGGCAGGAAAAAAAAAACTTCTGACAAAAGGGAGCTTCTCAATTCTTTTCACTTGGATTGTTTCCAAATATGGTTCCCTTGTTCTTAGTTCAGGGTGAACTGCACCTTTAACTCAAAATTGTTTCATGTTGGTGATATCGATATACAGTACAGTATAGTGTTGTTGTTGTTTTTTTTTTTTTCTTTCTTTTTACCATTGCAAATAAGGACCCGGAGAAAAAGGCTGAATTTAGGTCAATTCATTTTGACATATAATACTTAATGTTTAATAAGCAGTAAATGCAACGATGAAAAAGTAAAATAAATTGGTCAATATTAAAATTAGATAAATGCCTTTCTTAACATAATGTGTTTAGTAGGGCTGGTATTTCATATGAGTCAATATTGATGATTCTTGATTTTTTTTTTTAACCTGTTGGGAAAAAACAGTTTTTATGTACATTGTCATGTGGTATGGTGTACAGTTTCTCCTGCTGATTGGCGAAGGAAATATGCCAAATGAAATTACATCCTGATTTGCCCTGTGATTTGTGATATGAAGTATTTTCCTTCCATTTGGTAATTTGGTTGCATTCTGATTGGAATACAAGGCCAAACAAGTATATAAACGTATACAAGGTAAACGCGACTAGTGATTATGTTTAATCCGCATCGGGTATTTGCAACTTGCTACTTTTTCTTTGGGAGAAATAATGATCCAACGTTCCCCCCATTTTCTGGTATGTTACAAACGAAAATAGTAACTGAATCATAAATTGTTTGTGCATTTTCGGCACTATCAATTTGAAGCAGTGTCCTATTTTTTGATAGAAATTTAACGTGTTTAAAAAAAATATATGATTAATCAAATAATTTTTAAAAAGTAATTGATTATTTAAGATAAATCGATAGTTAAAGTTCTAAAGTTGAAATTTTTACACAGAAAAAAATCTGATCGTATCGGCCAATCACACTCGTGAATTATCGGTATCGCCACTTTTAAAACCCTGATTGGAACATCCCTGCATTCAATAATGTTCATGTAATTTGAGCAAATTGGTCATTTCAGAAGTCTCGCAAATGGATGGATGGATGATGATACATGTGTGTTTCGTTAGTTGAAACAGGAATATATGGCCCAAAAGAAGAGACAAGAAGAGGAGGATGAGTTCAAACGGAAGAAACATGAGCAAAGAAAAAAGGTAAATAAAAACAAAAAACATACGTAGTCTGGCTGTTTTTTGGGGGGGGTATATAAAACTGGTGAGTAAGTGTAAAGAAATCATGCTAAGAGTGATTTTTTTTTCTTTTTTTGGGGGGCGGGGGGTCTTTCACATTTCCTTGTGCTCTTCTGTCTTTATATTTCTGTCAAGTCAGCACTTTTTGACAGAGTCCAGAGTTACAATTAACATTTCCCCCCAGTTTGAGTACTTGTTGCAAAAAGTTCAAAATCACCACGTCCCAACAACCGTTGAAGGAGCAATAACATTTGCAGACACTAGATGGCACTTGAGGCAAGCATCAGGACATGATGAAGGAACGCTACTGAGTGCTCTGCAGACTACGAGTGAAATGAAAAGTTAAAGTAGCAGTGTCTCTGTGCATAACAATTTCCCCTTTTTTGCCTACATTTTGGTGTGTCAGCCTTATTCTAAAATGTATGAAATTCATTTGTTCGTATGGCTCACAATTTGACACTATGTATCTCTATCCATCAATCCATCCATCCACTCAATCCTCCCATCTGGCTATCCATCCATCCATCTAGCTAATCTGCTGCATATTCCCTCCATTGAAACATTCACAATTTCATTTTTTTACGGAAAACATTTTGATTTATAATTTACAACAGCATCACAGGTTGGGAATTCTAAAATGGGTTTCGGCCTTTCAGTGTGGAATTTGCATGTTCTTCCTGGTGTTAGCATGGGTTTTGTCCGGGTACTCTGGCTTCCTCCCTCACTCCAAAAACACCTCTTAGGTTATTGGAAAACTCTAATTACCCTTAGATTTGAATGTGATTATAAATTAGCTCCAGCAGGGAAGGCCGATGGCCCGGCCGAGGTGGCCGATCATAGTGCTTGGCAGGTGTCCTGCTGGCTGCCTGAGAAAGTGGGTGTGTGTTTAGTTGGCAGTTGGCATTATGGGAGTGGCTCCTTAATCTTCTACATTTCAGATTGAGGACCCAATCATTTTCTTGGGTTGGGCAGCGCTAATGCTGAGAGAGCAGGAACATCCAAGAATGCTCCGAGATGGATGAATGGAGGGAAACACAACTTAAAGGGTGTTTTTTGTGAAGAATTTGGATCTCAACATCTCTAAAAGCTGAAAAAAGTTATTTTTACATGAAACAGACCCTTTAAAAACATACAAGTATTCTTTGCTTTGTTTTAAGGCTTGACACCTTCATAGAAAATGAATGGATTTAAAACATTTCCCTGAGGAACATCATTCCAAACTCTCTTACTGATACTTAACTTGTAATGGATTTTGGGAAAGTACTTATGCAATGTACATTACACTGACAAAAATAGGTCAGGAAGTGAAGCCAGATCCACTCTGTTAGACAGACTTTCTTTGGGAATTTTTGCTGAATGATCCAAAAGAGCATTTTTTATAACCGCACACAGATTTTTACAGCATATGCTCATATTGTTTACAGTGCTGTGACAAAGTATTGCCCTGTATATAAACGTGGTTACTGTGTCTCTGTGATGCTTTGCAGGCTGAGTGTCTGGAGGAACAGAAGCAGGTGAAGGAGAAGAAAAGGCAAGAACAACTCCGGCAAGATTGCGCCCAGTGAGTCTTTCTGTCTGTCTGTCTATCTATCTATCTGTAATAACAAACTGTTTCCTTTTTAGGCAACTTTAACTTCATAGTTGCGACAAAAAAGTTGGATGTTAGCGATGCAGACAAGCGCAACATACAGCAGCGGTTTGAACAGTGTTATGGTCCAGTATTTGTTATTGCTTTGTTTCTATTTAAAGAGCGAGGGAGACTCTGTTTAAAGACCGCTGGAAATTGCATTTGCACTGTGCTAGATTTATTTCCAGTACCTCCCTCTACCTCTTTAACACAGCGATCGTGCATAATTGCCACTTCCCAAGCCCTACCAGAAATCCTGGCATGTATACACCTTTGTCTTTCACACAGCATAATGTCAAGGAATGATGCCCGGCGGAGGGGGGTGGCGGGGTCACTGTATATGTAATACACTCATATATAAGATGAATATGTTATATGAGAGACGGCCCGGTGGTCGACTGGTTAGTGCATCGACCTCACAGTGCAAAGGTGCAGGATTCGATTCCGGCCTTCCTGTGTGGAGTTTGCATGTTCCCCCTGTGCCTGTGTGGGTTTTCTCCGGGTACTCCAGTTTCTTCCCACATTCCAAAAATATTCATGGCAAATTAATGGAACACTTGACATCGTCCCTCGGTGTGAGTGTGAGCGCGAATGGTTGTTTGACCATGTGTACCCTGCGATTGGTTGGCAACCCGTTCAGGGTGTCCCCCGTCTACTGCCCGAAGACAGCTGGGATAGGCTCCAGCATGCCCCGTGACCCTTGTGAGGAAAGGCGGATCCGAAAATGGATGGATGGATGTTATACTGAGAGATTTGATTTGGCACAAAATGAAAATGAGTTTGACCCCATGGCTTTAGATACAGTGGCCAAGTGTCCCATTACAAACACAATTGAAGGTGTGTCCTGCGGGGAAATGTTTTATGAAAATCCCCAGCCTTATGACATAAATAGGAACATATCTTTGAAGGATTTGAAATGTTACACTTAATACCCCTGCATGCAAGTACAGAATAAGCTATTTTAGTGAGACGTAATGAAGCTTCCCAATCATTGGTGACACATCACTCTTCCCTTTCATTACAATATGCCGCATACACTGCATTGACATGATTTTCGCAGCTCATTTATTATTGCGAGTTGACGGCTGCTGTAGTTGGCAGGATGCCACAAACAGGAAACACATGGTGACTGCCGCAGAGATGTGGTGATTGATGACACGCCAAAAGTTGCAAACTCAGCGATGCACCTTGTAAATCTCTCTGAGACTGATGGGAGGTCACATGACACAGGAGGAATTCGATGGCTGCAGAACCAAGGAAGTTAATAGTGTTGTGGCAGCTACAGGAAGACAGCAGTCTCATTTCCTGCTCCAATGCGCCATTTGGCTTCGTCCACCATTTTGTCAAGACATACGCACACACGCACACGCACGCACACACACATTTGGCCTTCTCAATGTGGTTCTGACTTGGACCTTTCAAACTTCCTTAGATGACTGTGTGTGTGTGTGTGTGTGTGTGTGTGTGTCTATACGCTGAGTGACTAGTGCATGAAGTGTTGTGACATACCATTTTATTCTTGCAAAATCACATTCTCTATTCTATAATTTGGTATATTTTGGGGGGCGGGGCACATTTTTTCTATCCTCAAAAGTGTGGGACTTGATTTGACAACAACTTACCAATCATTAAGGAGAGGAGCTTTTGCACCTTGGAGCTGACGCCAACGACTCTGTACAAGCCTTGGTCGTTTATTCCTGTGCAACAATCATAAAACGGTGCTTGAGTGGCATCGCAAAGGGGTTGGTGGTTTAAGAACGAGCAGAAACATCAAATACATAAATGCTGTACAAGTTGTCATTTGCATGTAAATACAGCAGAAAGCAACTGTGGTTCTTAGCGTGGAAGTCATTTTCAAAATTGGTGCACGCCTGACCCCTGGTGTGCAAAAAGAGATACTGCAACAGAGTAGTTCCTCCCCCGGTTTTGTTGTCAGCGGCCTTTTCTCCCTCACAGCGTGAACTCTCCTGGTAAATGTATACGAAATCGTTAAATGATGCTGACCTCGTGTCTCGATGGCGCTGATGGAGTTCTTCACAAAAGTCAGCCCCACGTCATCCAGCTGAGCGTCGACTGCAACAGAACAATATTTGTAACGGAGGGCTTTTTGCTCACATTAGTACTTTCTCTGAAATTTTCCACTTACTGCCCCTGAAATTATAGCTTATTCCAGACGATATTATTATATTCTGAATTTTGTTCGAACGTTACAGTGCTGTTCTTGCTATACTATCCTTTTCCTTTCAACGTGGCCCCTATTACGCGAAAACTTTGATAATCATCCCGACACTTACTTCCTCTTTCTTTTGAATATGTCCTCCCGAGATAGCGGCCGATCTGTAATGAGACAAGTTTGTTATTGTGGCAATGGGCAGCCGCGGGTCAGCGCAACAATCGCTTTGCTGTCACTTTAATAGCAGAGCAAGTTGCGGATGATGACATAGTGCAAGGTTGTTTGACTCACAGGTTCCTTCCCACCCATGGCCAGCATCCAGAATTTGTGGTCACCCTCCGACAGAGCCTGCACTGTGAGGGCTGTGCCTGGCCTGAGAGAAACCAGCAAAGTTAGACCATGGCCAACACTGTATGAAATAGGGTCCACCCCTTGAAAAGACGCTCTTTCCCAAATCGTCACTGAGTTTATCATCCACTGAGAAGTGTGATGACTGCTGTTTATGGACGCGATTGGTCGACGAGTCGACTTTACGACATAACATGAAAGCTTGAAGTTAAGTAATCATCAAGAACATGTTTTTGGCATGGGCCAATTTACAAAGGATTTCCAACTGGCCCGTCTGCTGTGGACTCTAAAGCCCCATGGAGAAACGTACAGCCAACAAGTTATTTCAGTAGGCGTCAATTATCATGCTGATTTTCACTAATCGCAGATCGGCTTGGGCCTGGTCGCTATCCTGTGCGAATGTTGGGGATCGCCCTTATTATCCCCCCAAAAAAACAAAACAAAAAAATCAAAAACAAACAAACAAAAAAAAAAGCCTAAATCCGGGTACCTTTACGGTTTGTGGTCGAAATGGCACAAAAGCAAGTTAAAAACTCCCGCAGAAATTGAGAGTTAACTGCCAAGTGCCATTCAAACGCTGATGCTAATCACAACAGCAGCAGCGAAGCCTGTGACAGTCTAACAGATGAATTAAAACTCTGTCCAATTGTTGCATGTTGTAAATGAGCTCCGTGGAACGCCGTATTAAAGATTATTTTCCGTCGTATGATGATGGCGTTCCACTTCCAGTCGCTCCACTATGCCGTGTGCGATTGTCGAGCGCCGTCTTTTTTCATCTTGATTCAACACGACTTGTACTTGACATAATTTTTAACATGCTGGCAATGTTGTAAAAATCAAGGCCAACTTCAGTTCATAGACACGTCCCTCAAAATAAAATGGCCGCTATTCAAATAGGAGCCGCCATTTCAAAGACAAGCAAATCGAACCCTACCGATCTGTAATGTCGAGCTCCAGGCAGAACCTCCTGTCCAACATGTCCGTCGTTTTGCGGACGCAGGACTTGAGCGTGACCGACTCCGTCTCACCCTGAAGACGAAAACCAAATCGTGATGAAAGAACTTTTGCCAGCAGGTCTGAAAATTTGAACATCCAATTTGCGCAAATGGCACACTCACACTCCTTCCGCCAGATCTGTGGTCGAAAGTCACCATATGCAGGATCTTCTGCTCCTTGACAAACGTGCAGTAGCGTTTTACCCAACTTGAACCGAAAGGGGGCGGTCCTGCAAAACCAAAAAGAATGGGAAAAAAATGAATAACTTGGGATGGAAAATCAAGTCAAGTCAAAATTTCAAAACGACAACTAATGCGCCTTTTGGGGACAAGGAAATTGGGCTTTACCATTATTGTCGGAGCAAGTCAAACGAGTGTGCAGCACGTTTGTATGGACACTACGCAGTATTTACAACGAAAGACGACTTAAACAGCAACAGAAATCCTTACGTTTTTCCTGGACGTAAAGGTATCCCTCGCAGCTGATCGGGCTCGTCTGTCTGAGATTTGTTTGAGTGTGTCCGTGTGCGTGTGTGTATTTTTGTGTGTGGGTGGGCATGCACATGCACATGTAGCTCAAGGATGTTGTTATGACAGACTAACAACTTGATAATGACCTCGTAAAAACACATGCACGCACATCTTCTACACATTTGTGAAATTGTTCAAGCTAACGATGTTTTGCAAGTCTCCTCTTCAGCGAGAAACCTCACAAATGTGTTTTGCCAATAAATATGACCAAACCCAGAAAACAGGTGAGCTGTGGCGGTCGTTACCTGAGCCCTTAGGCACTATGATGTCATTTTCAGTTGACTGAGAGTGTCAGTACAAGGCAAAATGGCCATCCCCTGACAAGGCTTAAAAATAGGTGGGTTTTTCTGCTTCATTCATATTTCACAAATGTGTTATTAGTCAGAATGCTGTGTTTAAACCAGCGGGGTCACGTGCATATTACAACATATAGTAAATACATTTTGTTGACCTCAGTTATTATTCAACCCTTTCATGCACCCCGTAACCTGACAACACAATAAGCTGTCCACTGTAGTAACCGCTGTCCCTGAAAGGGTTAAGCCAGGTCAGCATTATAGAACATAAGATTCACATACTGTATTTTATAGTTTTTTTTTTTTTTTTTTAAACCTATCCTCTTTTGTGCTCAGGCACAGGTCCGTGTCTAATACAAAATATTGCTTTGGCACCCTCTTGTGACATCCATGGTGCCAAGGAACTAAATCAGGGGTGCCCAAACTATTTGGACCGAAGATCGACTTTTCGATCAACCAACCTCCCGCGATCGACCCTTTACCGCGCACACGCACACACATACACACGCACACCATGATGAGCAACAGCCTGACATGGAGGTATGCGACACACTTTTGCATCCTGTTAACTATCGTAGCTCACACGTACCATTTTAAAGTGCTTCCCTCGGCCTTCTAGATTCCTATTCTTTGCCTGTGCCCTCGGTGAATTGCACACGAAATAAACTCTGAATGAGAATAATGGTAACGATAAAAGATATAGCGCATGATCACAAGCTGCAATTGCAGACTGCTGAGCGCTAACAACTTCCGGTGACGCAGGTCACGTGCCACTGTAGGTTAAGTGAATTGACCAGCTCAGTGTTTCGTAAACTAATTTGTTGCCATCTACGCAAATCTGCACAGTCCAGTAACGTGTGTGTGTGATTATTTGCAATTTCTTGACAGAGTGAACTCGGCCTTCCTAGACAAGCTCGACCGTCACGAGAAAGGAAGTGAGAAAACCCCAATGAGAAAGGCCGATGTCAGCCATTCACCACTGAGCACTGATGGACAAGAAAAACCAGGACCCCATCCAGAGGAGAGCTGCTCTGGCCAGATGATGCTAAATGATTTAGGTAACGTTTTGAATGATATCCACATACAAGAGCGGTAAGCACACTCGTCCATTGAAAAAAAAAAAAGAAATACAAAAATCTGTATGTGTTTTTTCAAAATTTTTATTGTCACTGTTCTTGCTGTACGGCACCGACACAGAATGGTGGTGGGGGAGGGGTGGGTGTTGACTTATCAATATGCCACCTTGGGAGGAGTTGTAACAGTCAAGACAATGTTTGTGTAAATAATGAATGCTTGATCCTCAAAATCGGGGAAAACTTCGATTTCATCGTCTTGTCAGACATCAGCAAATCTCATGAAACTACAACTCCAATTGACAAAAAGTGTCATGATAGAATACAAACTTAAACTCACTACTGAAGCCTGGATTTTCCATGTCACTCTTCTGTATGAACCATACTGACAATTTTTTTTAAAAAAAAACCAAAAAGGATTGTTTTCTTATTTTCAGACCAAGATGAGGACCTTGAGCGGTACCAATACAAGAACCTGGAATGGGCCTTGATGAAACTGATGTTAAACTTTCCAGAACTCAGCAGAGTTTTTCTGGAGGACATTCTTGACCAGTGTGCTGGTGACTACCAGCGTGCTCACACTTTACTAAAGCACGCAATGACTTGAAGCTGAAGCTTTTTTTGCTTGTCTGAAGTATATTGTGTTGCCTTATGTATAAAACGTTCTATATAAATAAAGCTGTCTTGCCTTGCTTGCATTTAATAGTGACACATTTAATAGGGACCATCCATTTGCTGTTTGAGTAAATTGTATTTAATTTGTTTTGTTTTTAAGAACAACGGGCCATTTCAAATGCTTACACAGACCCAGTATGGCCCACAGGCCGACTGTTGGCTACCCATGATCTTGGTGTATTTGCTGTCTTGTCTGCAAGCATGAATGAATCACGGTTTTTAACACGGATTTGAATTCTCACAGAGGGTCAGCGGCATGAGTCAACATCGTCTCATATTTGCGGCCCTTAATTGAATCAGCGTGTGCAGCTGGAAGTAGGACCGTTCCACCCAAATACGTAGATGATGCACCCCTTTATTTTGTTGTTAGTAATACTATAAAGAAACCACTGGGAGTTGGACTTTAGATCACACTTGTAAGAGTTTTGTTACACTTTATCCAAATATCCCATTAGTGCACAAACAAAATATTTACGAGATGTTGACAACTTATGTTGGACCAATGGATGTTTTTTTTTCTTTTTTAATGGAAAATGCATGTCATTGATTTTTATTTTATTGTTGTTCTTTTTCTCTTCCACGTCACAAAGATTTTTCATAAATTGGGAAGGTGCCTCAAATTAAATGTGTGTCAACTTCCTGCAAACTAAGACGAGGAAATTAAAAGACTTCCTTGGGTACCAAGTAAGTAAGTGAACGCTTGAACGCTTGCATATATATATATATA